GTGCTGATTCAACATTCTCTGGAGTCGACATTGTTTAGTTGCTTTTGTAGTACGAAGTTAGTTTTGAATGAATGATACTGTTTGTACACGTTACAGTGCTTTTTATAGATTTGAATAAGGGGTACAACGCAGGTGTGTTGCGCTGTGTTAATCACACGTACACTATCGGCGTAGGTAATGACGATGGAAGAAAACAAAAACGTAAGAATGTGTATTGCGCGTTCGACTTTATTTGAAAGAGTCCACTATGAAGTTATCTTGAAGAATTTCTTTTTTCTTGCTTCTTTTTATCAGCACCCCGTTTCTGTGTTATGTAAATGTGCGTAGAAAAGAAATGTAACACATAAAGAACTGTTTCTTTACCTTTTGAACATTAAATGAAGATACAAATAAAGAAACAGAAAAGTATAAGTTGAAGTGGTACATTTATATGCAACAACAACAAAACTTTTGCCCACAAGGCAGTAGAACAATAAATTAGATACCGAAATGGTTGAGAGAAATAACTTCTGAGGAAAAGAATTTGTTATACAAATGTACCTTTGCCTTTTGGACTTGCTGAACATTGTTTTTCAGATTAATTTCTCTAATCAATCATCGTCGTTAACAGGCATTTCTCGGTCAACATTAACCAGTACTGTCATGTCTTCCAACAACACATGCTGTACTATTTCAACCCTTTACAGTTACCTAAGTGGAATCGAACTGATATATTTGGGCCGTGTATTCGGGAGTTACTTCTTATTAGTTCGAATCCTGACAGGTATCAGACATAGGAATCGGAATATTTAGCGTTAGGTTTACCACACTACGCTCGTTCTAAATGAAATTGTCTCGATGGGACAATTCTTATTTGCATTTCATGCTCAGTTCTAAAACTGATGTTCTTGATTATAGAATAGCCATAGGTTGGCTGACTATTCACAGTTTTTATCATGGTAAGGTGCCTGACCGATATCGTTAATATAAAAAGTTAGAGTTATTGGAGAACAACTCCAGCCGATAGTTTGACTGTATTTTATGCAGCAGAATGCATTCTAGTTTAAATTTATTTTTTGTACTTTCACTTCAGTCATTCCAAAACATGAGTTTATACTAAGAAAATCAAAAGATATGTTCTGCAAACATATCTGTCAATAAAATATTCAGTGTACGAAGCACAGTTTGTGTATTTAAAGCACGTCAAAATCTTGAAACGATGTCATTTTATTCAATTTCGGTAAGAATTATATATATCCTTTAAGATCATTTTTATAATTTTCATATTAAATGTTTAATATTTAAATTCACTGGATGCTTCTCAACTAGTAATATTCTTCATTTTTAATGAAAATTCATTACCATTTTTTAAATTCAAATCGGATAATGATAAATTTTCGTTATCATTGATGCAACATTCTTTTATTGGTTTTAATATAAAACGTGTATGATCGTCATCAGTCATAGTAACTGTTGTTGTTGTTTCTACAATTGACCAACACTTGTTGTTGTTGTTGTGGTTATGGATGATGATGATGATTAATTTGAATTACTTGCCGTTGATTGATACTTTAATTTATTTAATATTCATTTTAAATGTTCGTGGTTTTCTATTGGTAGTAATTCTTTCAAATAATGAGTACTACTTTCAATATCTGGTTTAACAAAAAAGAAAGAAACCATCTTTTAATATAAATGATATCTTCTTTGAAATATCAATCAAATTTCCACAATCAAGGTTTTAAATTAAAAAAACATCTTTTGTTCTTAAGAATGAATGAATACAGTTAATATGCTGCCTTTTTAATAATTCGACTTCAATTTCGCTGCATATGTTACATACAATATCATAAAATTTACCATTCTAACATGGTGAAACATTCGGTGATAAATTAGTAGCGTCAATGAGGATTTTTGGCATAGTTTATTTGCGTCTTTTTGTTTCCTTGCTTATTCGAATCTGTAAAGCTACAGAGACAAGGGACAAAGCTGTTTTCCCTACTAATGATATGTCCTGTTGCAATGATACGACTTGAAACTTGCTTTGCGTTCTCATTCAGAATGATTTAACAGCATTTTTATCCTATAGCAACACATTTTTTTCTCTTGCGATAACCATACAGTACTGTCAGAAAACATCATTTTCACACTATATGTCCCGTCATTTTTTCTGTTTTATATTTTTTCAATATCCCTTGAAACTATTGACCGTTTGACTTCAAACGATCATCTTTTTATTCTTTTGTGACTTTTCCCTTGACTTTAGTCTAAGGTCTTACAAAATGGTTGTTCCCTTGAGTTTAGTCTAGGGTCTTACGAAATGGTTGTCTGTGTGTCTGTGTGCACTGTCAAAACTGGCGAAGTAGGTTCTGTGTGGAGAACACACGTCAAACATGTCAAGATCGCAGTTAAAATGTGCTCTTTTTAAAACGTTCTATTATGAAGCGTGTTCTTTTTCAAATTCTATGTGCGAAGTGTGTTTTCAACATGTTTGATAGATAAGATAAATGATATATAATCTTTTTTATATATATAACGAGGGAAGTATTCTTGTTTCGTCGACAACTCACTGTCACACCGCCCTTCCGCCTCTGATGTTCTCTGATCTATATTCTTTGAAGTGGCCGCTTTGTCGACGGAACGAGAATACCCCATAATGAGGAAATAAGTATAGACATTTCATCGTTGGCTCAGCTGCCGGAGGGGTGTATGTATACTTGTGACAGGTTCTTTTAGACTTTTTAATGGCTTTGCCTATACTGCAGTATAATGAGCTTTACTTTGAGAGCTGAAGTAGACTTTAACTACCCTAGTTGGTTTTTTATGCCTAACTTTGTTTACTAACATCACCCATGTAAAAATATTCAATAAGAAGAGCATTATTGAATGTATTCTCGAAAAAATGAAAACGCAGTCTTGACCGTGATTACCTCATGCCATATTTTTTGCCGTTTTTAAAAATAGGAGAATGCGCTCTCGTCGACTAGAATTCAGTGATGCATATACTGGAACACATTGTTCACTATGTAAAAGTAAAGGAATACGTTCCGTTTAGGACAAGTTTTTTCTTGATAAAACTAAAAGGGTTTTTACCATTCGGTCCGATAATAGAATTCTCTATGAGGATCCTCGAAATATACGAATGTATTCTACTCGATTGCATGTCGTTCACTCTTATACTGAAAACCGATCTTTCTGTATCTTAAGAAAGTACTTTTAGACGTTTGCATGAAAGTTATTGTTTTTATCGATAAGTTGTTTACTGATAACATATACAAATGAAAAGAGAAAGAGAAAAGAAACAAAGTAGTAAACCCAGCACTAGAAAAATAAATAAACAAACCAGAATTTTAAGTTAGAGGAAAGGTAGCAAAAGAAGACTACACTCAAGTATCAGACGAAAATCCAGCTAACAGCTAATAGTGCCAGAAATAAAAATACAACAACCAGCAAGTCAGAAAGAAATGATGAGTTAGTCCGACAGACAGGCAGAGAAATGTCGTTTGTTGCTTAACGCTTTTTATTGCTCGTCTGGCTGAAGACTATGACCTTCTCCCTTATTTAATCAATGAAATTCTTATAGAATGGTAAACACTTGATCGATAGGTCTGAAACTTTTTTCCCATGGATCAGTCGATTTGATCCACAGTAGTGCTGGGCAACTCTAACTTCTCCCAACCTTAATGAACTCCGCTGAAAAACAACGAGACAAACACCATTCATAAAATTTGGTTTTTCTCAAACTGAATTCGTGCAAAAAGTTTTGAAAATGATACGCCAATTAGATTTGTAAGAAATCAAATTGAAATGAGATGTGCATATGATTGTGACTTTAAAGCACAACGAAATCAAGTAGTTATTTCAACATATAGCATAGCAGAACAAGACTAAGTTTATGATATCTAAGATATTTTCACTGTAAACACTTTAGTAACTAATACAAAAATACTTGAAAAATTTCAAGTGCTGACGAGAATTAATCCATGTTACTTTGTTTAAAAATAGGAATTTAAATTATAAAAAGTAGAAGCGTCGAGCTATACTGTCGCTAACTCCCGCCGCGATCGCTATGGACTCGCGATTTTGCGGCGGGACCTGAAAGCTAGAAAGTTTATAAAATTCAATCAGTTTTTTCTTAGCGCGATCGCCAAATGGCGGTGCGACTCGCGAGAATGACTATGACTATGGACCTGATAAAGTAGCAGATTCGCGGCGCTAAAATCGCGTCTTATTTCGTGTGTGACTCTTATACCGATCGCGCCGAGAATTTTTAGTGCGAGTCACGGCACGATTTGATAGCGAAAGTTGACTTGGGAGTTGTATACTAAAACAAAGTAAATGCAATGGCTCAATGAAAACATGTTGGTACTATAATTTGAAAGTATGCATTATCTTAAAAAGCGTACCATCCTTCTTTTGTAGCTTGTTTCTCTTATTTTTTGGTTGGCTATTGTATAACGGAGTATAGAAAAGTCAAGTTTTTCAAGAGAAATTCCAAAAGCCAAGTCTTTACCTTTGAAGATTTTGTCTTTGGCAGAAAACTCCGATTTTACTTACTAAAGATGTAAATCGGAAAAAATCCGGTTATACTAGACGAAGCTCCATTTACCAGTTGTCTTGGTCTTCACAAGATTATGGTCAACTAACTTAGATTAATGTGTAAAATTGCCATTCATTGCCGACTTTTGCACTAGTGTTTTTGTGATTTTGTAACTTTATAGAAAGTCTTTTGTTTCTACAATGTGGAATTGTACGTCTTGCAATGTACCGTTCGAAACATTAAATGAATATATGAATCATGTTCAAAAACTTCACAATCATGACACAAAATTGATTATTTCATGCCACATTTGTAACGCAACATTTAAATCCCTACATAGTTATCAATCGCATTGGACAGTAGCTCATGGAACGGCTGATGAATCAAGTGATGATCAATCCGAAGATGGCAATAATAATCAAGATTTTGATGATGAAAATATTCCAAATTTTCAAGTGTTAAATACAAATGAAATTGATGATGATGATGAAGTTGATCCAATTGTACAACCAAGTGATCGTGCAGAACATGTTGCACAACAAGTGTTATATATGTTATTAACTCTACAAGTGATGCATAATGTTTCTGAAGAATGTGTTAAATATGTTGCAAATAGTTTATCTGAAATATTTATTGCAGCATCTGATCATTCAGTGGCAAGAGTTTTAACGAGCTGAGTGAGTTTCTTGCGTTTATTTTTGCTATTTTTTTTGTTTAGGATTTAAATTTTGTTGCATCAATGACAAAAAAATTTACTAGTAGTCATATACGAACAAAGAAAGCAACGGAATATTATGGATATGTTGCACCGATCACTAAATCATATGAAGCAAGTTTTTTATATAATTTGTTTGTTTTCGGCTATTAATTACTTAACCTTCACCTTGTTTACTTCTCTTTCTATTTTAGACTGTTAAAATTGCGAAGAAAAAAGAAGAAAAGAAAATTGTTAAATATGTATATGTTCCATTTTTGAAGGGTTTACAACAGTTTCTTCAATTACCTGAAGTTCAATCAGATTTAGAACGTGGACAACAACAAACTGGAAATATTATGCAAGATGTTAATGATGGTGATCTTTGTATTAATCATCCACAATTTAAGAATCCAAAATTTTTAAAAATTGAATTAAGTTCGGATGATCTTAATCTTACAAATCCAGTTAGTCATCGCTCTCATTCAATATTCTTCTTCTATTGGACATTGTTAAATTTATCAAGAGAACATAGATCCAAACAAACATCAAAACGTCTGGTAGCTGCTTGTCCAAAATGGGCAAGAAAATATGATGCATTATGTAATACAGTTGAAGATTTTCTTAGTGGAATTCAAACATTGTCAACAACAGGTTTGAAGGATCATATTTTGCTTGTTTTCAAGCAGTGCGTGTTGAAGACTCAGCGTTCTGATGAAAACTCTCTATGGAAAGCCCAGAGATGTTCGGTGCATCTAAAAGTTCTAAATTTGAAAATAAGCGATGTTGTCGCTGAATATAGTTTATCAATAGTTTATCTATGAGAGATAATGTGTGCATGGCATGATGGAACGGAGACCACTTACTCCCTATAGAGCTTTTGTTATACGAGAGAGCACCACAAAATAGCATAATTGCAGAGTTTACGACTTTTAGAATTTATGAATTTTAGAATTTTTGTGCGTGATTTATTTTATACACTAAGTTTTAAATATTGTTTTAACCAGCTGTTTTGCTGTTCACAAGCTTATGTGTTGATATTTTTCAAATCATCATAAAAATCAATGTTCCTATCGGTCGCACACATCTTTCTTTTATGATTTTTCTGATGCAGCCGATCTATCACCAAACGACTAGTAGCAACGAATTTACTGGCAGGTGTTTGCTCAATTGTCTTTAAACTTCGTTAACGATAATTAATAAATTCATAAATTCTATAAATTCATAAATTCACAAATTCTCGAAATTCATAGAATGCTGCCGCATGTATTCGCGATTTCAATTCTGATGATATAACATGTGTCAATATGTTGGCTAAACCAACAGAAATATGGGAAATAAGTCAACCTATACGGAATATTTTAATCGCTGCTTTAAGTCAAAATAAATCTATACCAGTGCGATTTTCATACACAATTATTCGATTAGTACTAAGAAATAAATTGTAAAAGAATTTATATAAATATTATTAATACTCTTTTAGAGCGCCTCCAGGACAAGATGATGCCGAAGAGATAACAGCAGAAATAGCAAATGAACATACTATCTATATTCAACCAGAAAATGAAGGATTAAGACAACCATTAATCGATATATTAAATGGAATAATAGGGACAAGAATGTCCATGTCTTTCTGGATTACATTTTTCAGTTTCGTTTTATTCATTTTTTAGGGATAGTGGTTAATATAAATGGACAAGATGAAAGATATTACGGTGGTTTATTTATGACGTTGGGAGATTATCCAGCACAAATGGCACTTCATGGATTTAAAGAGAGTACATCAGCAAACCATTGTTGTTTTAAATGTGATATATTATCTGAATGTATCGAAGAAGATATACATATTGATTTAGAAGATATTACAAATAAAGAATATAAACGACGATGTAATGAATTAGAATTCGTTCAGTATGATCCATATTCATATGAAAAATTATCCAAAAAATTTGGAATTAATAACAGAAGTTTGTTTGATCGATTTAATCATTTTGATGTTATGGTTCAAGTCTTCTATGATCCAATGCATACATTATTAGAAGGTGTATGTCAAAATCATTTTAACGCCTTCATTGAAAATTGTGTTGTTAACAGTCGATTTAGTATGCAAGATTTATGCAGTGTTATCAACAAATTTAAGTGGTATAATAAAAATGAATTAACGTGTAAACCAAATTTAAATCTGGCATTAGATGGTTTACGTAATCAAAGTAATAATGGTTTGCATTAACAAGCATGCAAACTTATATATTCGTTATGAATATGCCATTTATATTGAAAATGTTATTAAAAAATTCTCATTTTGAACATTACACTGCGGTGTTAACAATTGTTGATATATTATCTTTATGTTTTGCAACAGAAATAAATAGAAAAACAACACCTGATTTATTGGAAAAAACAATACAATATCATAATAAAGAATTTCGACGTTTATATCCAGGTAAGCAGTTTTGAGATTGTACAATTTATTCCCTATAAGAAAACTTTAAATATCTGTCTTAAATTTGCTGAAGATTATTAGATGATTGGATTCTTCCTAAACAAGACCGTTTTTAGGAAAAATGAAACCCAAGTTTCATTTCATGAAACATTTTCCTGTATCGATACGACAAATTGGTCCATTAAGATATACAAACTGTCTGGTCACCGAACGCAAACATCAATTCTTTAAAGGGGGAAAAACAAGAAATTTCATT